CATTTCTACCCCAGATATGCTGAATTAGCTTACAGAGGCTTAAACCTAATGAAACGGTTCAGTTCGAAGCCCTGTTTTCACCAAAATAATAAAAAAAAAAAACCCTAGCCAACTGAATTTAGCAGCATGTAGAGGAGATGATACAACATACCAAGTGGGATTTATCCCAGGAATGTAAGGCTGGTTAAACATATAAAAATTAATGTAATTAATACACCATATTATACCCTATTAATATACCATAAAGGATAAAAATAGTACCTCAACAGATACTGTGAGTATAAAATTAGTGGGTATAAATTAACCGTATCACCTACATTCTAGAATATACAAAATTAACTTTATCATTCAGAGCTCATTTGAGGAAGTTTTTACTCTTCTTTTTTACTGATGTGCTTTGAGTTAGTCCCTGAAACTTATAACTCAAAATGCAACATACCAACACTAGAGAAAGGAGCCCTGGTAGCACAATGGCTAAAGCGCTAGGCTGCTATCAAAAGGTCAGCAGTTCCAACCCACCAGCAGCTTCGCAGGAAAAAAGACCTGGCAATCTGCTCCCGTAAAGATTACAGCCTAGAAAACCCTATGGGACAGTTCTACTCTGTCCTATAGAGTTGCTATGAGTCGGAATCAATTCGAAGGCACACAATACCACCACCGCTAGAAAATGTACACACACGCACACACCCCCCATGTGTGGGTATATGTAAATATTTGGATAATTAAAAATGGTTTTATTGAATACCTACTATATGACAATCACTGTTTTAAACATCTTACGAGAATAAATTCATTTAAGCCTCACAACAACCTAACTACTGTTATATCCAGAATACAGAAGAAGAAATTGAGGCAAGAAAATGAAGGGATTTACTAAGATCCTTAGCTAGTAAATGCTCTTCCACTAACCAAGGCACAAACGTAAATAAACATCATTTTTATGCAGTTGGATGCGCACAATTAAAAAAAAACCCCAACTATTTACGTGGTTCTGATTTGCTCAAGGTAGCTAGAATCTAAACCCAAGTTTATCTCAGCTTTGAAACCAAGGCTGGGTTTGATGCTCATCAGTGATGCTATTGATTTTTGCACTATCCACTTATCTCCTGTGGCATTACGGGCAGTTGGATAGTGACATTTAATTCAAAGTGCAAGTTCCTTAGGAACCTGCATGACTTAAACTAACACAACAAAAAGCTAAGTTTCAAACAAGTAAACGAAAAACTGTTGAATGGTTCTTAGAATGCATAAATTTACAAATGAAGATTGTTTTATATTTTATGCTTTTATATCTCCTAGCCTTCTTTAATATTTCAGAGTATACACAATCCTAAATTATATCATGGTGCTGGTTTGACTTCTTAGGATCTGAAAAGTTAAATTTTGGCATACGTGTTTTTGTCCTAGCTCCACCACTCAGTAAATGATCAGATGACACATTACAGGACATAAGGTTTTAAATTAGAAAAGTGATTCTTAAAAAACAAGAAAAAATACCACAGACCTCAATCACTAAGTTTCTAGTATACATAAACAGCAAGGTTCATACAATAATGACAAGATGGGGAATAGTTTTGCTTACCAGCTGAAGTGTTGCTGCCATTTTAAAAAAAAAGTTCCAGAATTTATATTAAAGAATTTTTATAAAGTTAGGTGCTGTTAATATTTGCATAAAATATAAATGCAAGGTACGTAAAAACTACAAAGCATAGTATTGCTATCACTCACACTGCACGACACAATTGCCCAGCCTTTAAAATTTTAACATAAAAGATCAAACAGGAGTAAGATGATGGAAAGGCAACACAATAGATCTATGGGGTAAATAATTTAAGATTTTAAATTACACTTGTCATATATATCAATCCAAGTCCCTAAACCAATGTGGACCTTAGGAGTTGCAGTTACTAGCACTTCCCTTAGCCTGCTGAATATAGCATGAGGTAGAATATGTATGTATTGGTGTATATATAAGTGTTTGGAAAGGGAGGGTAGGTAACCAGATCCCTAAATCAGCAGCTACTTCTAGTAAGTTATTTGATTTTCTTTTCAACCTTGAAACTGAATATTTTACCTTAGGCTATAAAGCCACCCTCACTGTCAGACTTCTTCCTCAGTGATTCGAAATACATCCACAATTCTGTCTGTCTGATACCAATAGTAGAGTAACCATGAGGGCTAACTGGCATCACTGAGCATACACTGAAGCCCATAAGCCTTGAAAGCTGACATGCTCAGTCTCTCACAGGATCCCAGATGCCTGCCATCCACCCCCTTGAAAAACTGGAGGAAAAGAGACTAAATAAATATAATGATAACCATGACAAGATAGCCCCTACCAGTCTCAAAACACTTCAGTGCACCATGGGCCTTTCCTCCTGTGACTCTGCCACTCCTCCCACCAAGATACAGGGTTTATTTCCCTCGCTCTTTGAATCAGAGCTAGCTCTGTGACTTGCTTTGACCAACAGAATGACACAGTAATGATGCCGGGTGATTTCTGGGCCTAGTCCTTCCTTACAAGACCTTACAGCTTCCTTCTTCACACTTTTGGAATCTAGCTGCCAAGCTATTGTGCTGGAAAGACCATGGGGAGAAAATGAAAGCACCTCAGCCAACAATCAGCTCCAACACGTGAGCGAAGTTGTATTACACATATTAGACATTCCACACCCAGCTGAGCACAGCCACATGAGTGACATCAGCCAATAACAAAGCGGAGCAGAACTGCCCAGCTAAGTCCGGCCAACCCATGGAATCTTAATAATAAATTGTTGATGTTTTAGGTCACTGAATTTGGGGACAGTTATGCAGCAATAAATAACTGATAGACCTCTGATGTTCTTCCCAGAGAAGCCAACCATCCACTGGGAAAATCCTCAGCTATTACTAGTGCGTAACACAGCTGATTTCACAAGCAACTAAAGACTGATTTACTGCATTGTATGCTACTTAAATTTAATTACTTTGGAATATCAGTGGGAAATTTTAACTGTTGGGAAGGCATATGGTACAATGAAGAGTCTGGGACTTGGAGTCAAGATTTGGGCTTAAGTCCTAGCTCTATTACTTACAATCTGTATGACTCCAAACAAGTCAGCCTCCTTGAGCCTCAGTTTTCTGTTCTGCAAACTAGAAATAATGATCTGGGAGGCAGGAGGATCAAATAAGAGCATATGTGAGTGGGTATAAATGCTAATTTTTATTACTGTATTATTATAAACCAAAAAAAAAAAAAAAAACAAACAAACTCCAACTAACAGGGTTTGCAAGGCAGTAAGTCTTTATGGAAGCAGACTGCCACATCTTTCTCCAGTGGAGCAGCTGGTTGGTTCGAACCGCCGAGCTTTTGGTTAGCAGCCAAGCACTTAACCAGGGAGCCACCAGGACTCCTTACTTTTTATGAAGAGCCAATATGCAATACTGCAGCCTTCCTGTTTTACAAAGAACTGTTCAAAATATACTGTATGCCTATTTGGTTCAAGGAACAATTCAACATGTTACTGTATTTATAGTGAAAAGTACTGACTGTTGTAATTAGTATTTAGAACCTCTAAAAGGATCTAAATAGGCTTGCCTGAGGAAATAACTGTACCCAGCTATTCTTACCTTCATTTCCCAATGACTACACACACACGAACTCAAATGAGTTTCCAAACCCAACCTAAGCCAGTGTTACACAATATGTTCCACTGCTCTGTCAAATTGCCAAGGACTTTTCCCTTGAAATACTCAGTATGAGCAGCAAAGAGACCATAGACAAAACTTTTCAGAAGGTTCATCAATCAAGATTTAATAAAAAATCCACTAATGCTCCATCCACAAAATATTCCCCTTAGTCTACCTCCATCTGGAGGAGGGATGCTCTTCTAATCAGGTATGCATCCTCAGCATTTCACTGTTTTGCTACCCATGTCTCAGCTCCCTATAGGACAGCACGATCTGTTCTTAATTAGCATGCACGGATGCAACAAGCATCCATTCACAAATGTTTACAGAACACCTACTATGTGCCAGGCACTAGGCATCAGAAAATACATACACACCACGTTCTCGTCAGAAAAGTTTAATCCTGAACTGTCATAAAACTAATTAAAAACTTATTAGGAGAAATATTATCCATGGATGATTACAGTTCAATTATTTCTTAGAATTTCTTCTAAATTTTATCTTTCAATTAAACCACACCAGTTGAGCTGGACTGAATCATTTTGTCCCTATGTGAAACTGATTTTACCAAACTGTGCTTTGGTGTCATGGCAATGGCCTACATCGAGGGTCACTGTAAGAAAGAGAATCAGGAGATCATCACAGTAATAGTAGTTCACACTGAGAACACTATATGCCAGACACCATGCTAAGCACTTTATATGCATTTTAAAAAATCCTGTTTGTTCTCATCTTATAACCATGAATAATGTATTTGACTACTTTTTTCTCTTTTCAACTACTCTTGTGTCTTTTCACTGCACTGGGTGCTACAGAACTCAGAGCCAGATTTAGCCCATCTGACAAGTATACAGACCTAAACAGTATGCATTTTGGCTACGTTATTTCTAACTTCACTGTGTTAGCTCCTTGCCCCACCTGGTCTATTTATTTTATCTTCACCAACTTCCCCACTTAATTTAAAGCAGTACTACATTAAGCTTTGCAAGGCACCTCAAATCCTTTTTTTGAGTAAGACTTGGAAGAAATAATTAACAACTTGAATCCAACAAAAAGGTTTATAGGGACCCAGAGTACTACTTCTGAAGAGCTGTTAGAAGATTTTGCCTAGTCCTGATTTTATTAGATACAAAAGATACTACTTTATTTACTCTTAGGACAGTTTTTACATAAGAACAATAAATCAAGTATGAGTGAAAGAATAATTATTAATCAGAAGAATTTTTATAGATTCTCAAATATTCTTAATTCCAAAATGTCAGTTCTTCACTGCATTGTGAAAATGACTAAATACGACTATAAGCACTTCGCTAAAGGAATTAAGTAATTACCTGACTTCAAGGGCTTTGATGGCTTCTAGCATTTGTAGAAATTCTGCTGCTTTCCACACATCATTGGCTTCTTCTTCTCCTTGTATCATTAACTTCGCTGTATACGTGAACTCAATTAAATGACGAAAGGCCATCTTACTGACACCTGTAAAGAAGATATGCATTAACATGCATTCACACTTGACGATTCAGAGCTTTTAACATTTAGCAAAGAAAAAGAAAAGCTCAGTGTCTTTATTTTTCAAGATCTGCTGGCAGAATTCTCACTAATAGTACGGTAATACTGTAGCCAAGTTCCAGCACTAACTAGCAAAGTACTTTAAGGCTTTTTCCAAAGGCTCTTATGGAACAGCAAAATCTATCACCCAAATATATTTGTTAGTTAACAACAAAGTAGCATCTTTTGTATCTAATAAAACATGCTATGTGTCCTGCCAGGGAGACTGCAGCTGTGTCAATCCAGCGACAAAATCCTCAATAGTCTCCAGAGCTCTTCTCAAGTGCAGTACCTCTCTGCCTTTATTTCAAGGCCTCTTTATTTTTCTATTTACTGCTATTTTGCTTCTCAAATTTTAAACTACATCAAAACCAAATTATTTATTATTCCTGAAACCCTGGACTCTCTAATAGCTTCCTTGCCTTTATTAACCCTTACCCTCCTTTCTGAATGCTTAATCACTTTACCTCTGGTTGTACAAATCCTACCATTCTCAAAGGCCCAACTCTACATGCCACATCTTCAAGGAAACATTTACTACTTCCTCCAGGCTGAGTCCTATACCTGTCCTGATAATTACAATTCATGGACAATTCCAACTGGGGAAGTAAGATCATGCTGCCCCCTTGTGCTTCTTTCCAAGCACTGCTGTCAGGGCAAAGACGTTGAGGTTAAGGTATAAGAAACTCATTGCCGCTGAGTTGATTCCGACTCATAGCGAGCCTACTGGACAGAATAGTTCTACTCTGTCCCATAGGGCTGCTATAAGTCGGAATCGACTCGACTGCAACAGATACATATGCAAATCCAGGTGCTTCTTATGTGGCCAGCCCAACACTGTCCTAGGAACCAGTGGCCTGACTAGCTAACGTGAACCAAACTGGTAACACCTGCCCAGGTAAGCAAAGTGGTGGCAGATGATGTATGGTTGTAAAAATGTTATTCTCTACCAGAACTAACTTGGTAACTTACAAATCTCAGTCCATTTTCCCATCAATAAAAGTGCACAGGAAAATATAATTTTTTTAAGAGAGTCTCTAAGGAAAATGCTAATATGAATACCTTAACCTGAATCTTCATCCTGACAGGAACGCTTAGAAAGAAGAAGCAAAAGGGAGCAGCATTCTGGAATTTCTCTAGTCTCGGCATATTTCCCCAGTTGATGGAAAACTCCTACTTACAAAAATGAATGAACATGTACTTGGATGTTTTGTCGTTAATACTAGGGGATGAAATTTCTGGACATGATGGTAGAACAGCTACTAGAGAGAAACTAGGTGCTCACTGACCTGTGGTTTCAGGAGGGGGAGGAAAAAAATGAATTTAGAAAATCGAAAGTTCAGAATAAGAGGAGGCTATGTGCTCTGAGCAAGGGAATGAATATCTGTTGAAGATTTTATGTGGTATAAATCCAAGTCACAAAGCTGAGCTGGGATGCAATTGGCTTTAAGAACAATTTTGATTTGAAGCCAAGAGTGAACCTATGGTTCTAATCAAAGGTAACTAGAAAACAGAGAGGGGCCTAGCTCAGCTTAAATCTAATAACAGTTTACACTCACAGAACATATTACGATTTAAAGTTTTTTTTACACACACGTCATTTGCTTTTACAAAACACTATAAGGCAATGGTTCTTAACATTGGCTGCACATTGGAATCGTACTAGGGCAGTGCTGCTCTAGAAATCATTTGAGGATCTTGTTAAAAGCAGATACTGATTCAGCAGGCCTGAGATAGAGCCTGAGGGTCTACAGTCCTAACAAGCTCCCAGGTGATGCCCATGCTACTGATCCTTGGACCATACCTTAAATAACAAGGTCCCTCCCTCGGTGGTGCAAACTGTTAACGTGATCGGCTGCTACCAAAAGTTTGGAAGTTCGAGTCTACCCACAGGCACCTCGTAAGAAAGGCCTGGCAATCTATTTCCGAAAAATCAGCCACTGAAAACCCTATGGAGCACAGTTCTACTCTGACACATATGAGATCACCATCAGTTGGCGTCAACTCCACAGCAACTGGCTTAGGGAATTTATAAACACAGAGGCCTGGATTCTACCCTACGAAGACTGATTTAATTATTTGGAGAGGCAGCCTACTGGTCTTTGTAAAAGCTCCCCTGGTAATTCTAATGTGCAGCTAAGGATGAGAACCACTGCTACAGATCATTATCCATATTTTACAGACTCCTCCAGTTTTGGCTAAAATGAAGAAAGAACATTCCACCCTATCTCACCCATTAATTGTAACTAAAAACCCTAGACAGAATCCATAAAACAAATACATTAGGACTCTGAAAAACAGAAGTGAGCACACTATGGAGAGAATATCCCTGCTTCTTCCTTCTTTCAGCCCCGCCTCAAGGCAAGCCCCAGTTCTGATGCTGCACACCGGTGGCTGGTGGGCTGTGGCAGGCACCTACACTCTAAGAAAGTCCTTCTCTCTGACAGAAGAACTAGGGGAAAGACTATGGTCTGAAGAGTGTGGAGGGAATTCCTTATTTTTTCTCTCCCTTCCTTCTCTTGCCGCTTCATCCAGGAGATGGATCCCATTGCAGAAGTGCACGATGCACAGGGAAGCTAAAACCCCAGCCTTCTAGCCAGAGGACCAGGAGAAAGGGCTCCTGGGAGCCACTGTGCAGAGGAAATCATGGAGAGGAGGGAGCTGGAGAAAGGGATCCTCTAAATCTGTGTAGGCAGGCTCAAGCTCACCCCCTGGGCTGCACATATGTGGAACTGACCCAAAGCAGCATAGCAAAGACTTTGAGAACTGCACTATGGAGTATACTACCACCCAAGGTTTTAAAAACTAATAAATTGACATTGGATCCACAGCCAGAAGGCAGTCTGAACCTAACTAGGTTGACTGCCTGCTAAAACAAACAGCATTCTCCAGAGGATTTCAACAATATCCAGTCTCATAACATAATATTCAAAATATCCATGAAACATTCAAAGTTACTTGACATATTTTACAGATGAAAAAGAAAAAGGGAAGCCAAAATGTCCATGGTCACACAACCAACAAACAGTAAAGACAGTACAAAAACTCAGGCTTTCTAATTACATGCCCAGTGCTTTTTCTACTGCTGAGTGACCTATCTAGACAGTACAGTAACCCCAAAGTTAAGGGCTTAAGAAGACACTGAGCCAAAATGATTCTTTAAACCTGGGTCTAGCAAAAAAACAAAAAGAATATTTTTACGTTTTACTTTCTTATCTGTATGTAATTTAAATACTGAAGGTCAGTGTATGCTGTTGATATAATCACGGACATAGCAGGTCAGAAGTACTGAAAGGTACAAGAGAAAACTCCAAATCAGTTAGTCTTCGGATAAGAACACCCTACTTCATCCCCGGAACGTTAGGTACATTAGGTAATAGTTGAGAGAGAGTTTTTATTGTTAAAACTGGGGAAATGCTATCAGCATCTAACTGGTAGAGAACAAGCATGCTGTTTAACATCCTAAAACACACAAGACAACACTTGTCAACAAACTTTTCCAGCCTAAAATGTCAATGGTGTTGAGGTTGAGAAATCCTGAGTAATGGCTGATGGAAACTTGCTGAAGGGCTTCATTTTGGTGTCTGCGGGGGTCCATTTCATTTAAAAAAAATAATAAACTATACAGATTTCAATTAAGTATGTTATCAGCCTCCAATTGTAAATTCATGTAACTATAATTTCAATCCATACTAACTGCCAGAAACTGTGAGGTCACTGGGAAACACATAAATAAGACATGACCCCTGACCTCAAGGAGTTCACCACTACCTACTAGGAAGTTATCTACATGAGAAAATTCCATAACAAAAATATGACCCATAACATGTCTCCTTTATTACTGTAATCTTGGCAACAACTTCAGTAGGTAATCATAAAGGCCTCCTTTTTTTAATGACAATCAGCCATGTACATCAGCTGACTAAGCCCTATGGATCACTTAATCAGTGATGATACTGTTTTATAGATGCCCTTGACTCAGTTCCGACTCACAGCAACCCTATGTACAACAGAATGAAACACTGCCCAGTCCTCCACCATCCTCACAATCGTTGCTATGCTTGAGCCCACTGCTGCAGCCACTGTGTCAATCCATCTTGTTGAGGGTCTTCCTCTTTTTCACTCTCTACTTTACCAAGCACGATGTCCTTCTAATCAGTGATAACCAAAAAACCAAACCCGTTGCCATTGAGTCGATTCCAACTCACAGCAACCCTATAGGAAAGAGTGGAACTGCCCCATAGGGTTTCCAAGGAGTGGCTGGTGTATTCAAACTGCTGACTTTTTGGTCTGCAGCCATAGCTCTTAACCACTGTGCCACCAGGGCTTCTCTAATCAGTGATAGCAACTGTAATTTCAGATTGTTATATGGGCATATAGTAGCCTCCTTTCAGGAGTTCCTTAGAAACACCCTTATTTTAATGTCCCAAACTCCTTAGCCCTCTTCTCACTCTATAAATCTATTCATGTACTTTCATCCACTCAAGTTCAAGCACCAATTATATTGATGGCTTTTAAGTCCTTTAGCCTAGATCTTTCCTGAGCTTTAAGGCCCATGGGTCCAAACTACACGCTAGCCATCCTAAGCTGATATCCCACTGATATCTCAAATATAACATAACCAAAGCTCATCTCATTACTGCTTCTTTACTAACCTGCTTTTCTTCCTGTATTTAAAATCTAATGAAAGACAACACCATCTAACTTATCATGCAATGTAGAGACCTGGAAATCATCCTGCTACCTTCCCCCAACGCAGTCATCAAATTCTTTCAATTCTATCTCCCTATCTGCTCTCAAATCCATCACCACAGTAAAGGCCTTAGCCTCAGCCTTCATTTCTTATCAAGACTAACTGATCTCTACCTTCAGTAAAATCCTTCCTTTACATCAGAAATTTTTTTTTTTTTTAAACTCTATTTAAGGATTCTAGGAGTTCTGAAGAGACCAGAGGAGTAGGGGTAGAAGAATCTAGCAGGCCAAGATTCTATGCCTCAGATCCCCATTTCAAGCTGGGAAGCTCTATTTTTATCTGTTTAACATCCTAGACATTCTTATATTTCATTTGAAACAAGTTTGACAATCACTGCTCTGCATTGCTGCCAGTGAACTAAGACTCTCGAACTGATTATGCTGTCCTTAACTGAACCCTTCAGTGTTGTCTATTTACTCAAAATTGTAAAACACCCAAATATTCAATAGTGGAAGTGCAGATTAAATAAAGCCCATCCATTCATTAGAATACTATGCAGCTATTAAAAATGTTACTGTTTATAGACATGTTCATGTTCTACCACTGAGTTTTGAAATATGTACGCTATACTATTATTCAAGCTTGCATTTTTAAAAAATACAGACTTTATATTAAATTTTATGTATAGGAAAAGCATGGAAAGATATATACAAAAACATTAGTAGTAATTTCAGGGTGGTAAGATTATGGATTTTTATTTTATTTTTGTTTATTTGCATGTTCTAATTTGTCTATAGCAGTAGTTCTCTACTGGGGTGGTCCCCCTTGTTCCCCAGGAACATTTGGCAATGTCTGCAGACCATTTTGGTTATCACATCTAGTATGATGTTACTGGCATCTAGTGTGTAGAGGCTAAGAATGTTGCTAAACACCCTAGAATGCACAGGACAGCCTGCCACTCACAATAAAGAATTATCAAGCCCAAAATGTCAATAGTGCCAAGAATGAAAAACTTACTATAAGCATATTTTATTCACTTTTTTAAATAAAAAGCCCAAACTCCTTATCGTAGCATATTAAGACCCTCTGCGTACCTCATGAGAGTCCCTGAGTGGTGCAAACGATTAACACACTCATTGCTAACCAAAAGTTCGAGTCCAGCCAGAGGTGCCTGGGAAAGGTCTGATGATCTACTTCCTAAAAACCAGCCACTGTAAAGTCCTATGGAGCACAGTTCTACTCTGACACAGAGTTACCATGAGTTGGAGTCAACTCAGTGCCAACTGGCTTTTGGCTGCCTACCTCTCGACTCACTTTTTGCTATACACACTCTTAAAACCCAAGATCTTACTTCCCTAAATCTCTTGAGCATTTTTATACTCCAATGCTTTTCATTCAAGGTGCTCCTTCCTTCACCAGCAATGTATATTCCAGCCTGAGCTACTTATTTTTAGACTTTTTAAGACTCTGCTCAAAAGTCAACTCCTCTTTGAAACCTTTTCTCTCTCTCTAAGGTAGACTACTTATTCTCCATCCTCAGATACCATTCCACAATAACAGCCTCTATAACACTTTTTGCCCTCCTTTCTTTACCTGTCGCTTATCTCCTAGTAAACTGCAAGTTCTTTAGGGGATGTGTAATTCATTGATTCTTCATCTCCTGGGTCTAGCACAATACTTTATAATAGATATTCAATACGATAAATAGCCTCCATTTATTGAGCTTTTACTATGTGCCAAGCACTATGTGAGGCATTCTGCAATGCATTATTTCCAATCAATCATTACAAGACTATTAACCCATTTTTCAGAGGAGAAAGCAAAGACGCAATTCAAGTAAAGTAACCTGCCTAGAGTCATACACTTAGTAAGCCTCAGCTGAATGAACAGACACTATAAATGGTAGCTATTATTACAAAAATGTCAAGCAAGTACAAAAATCAGGGCAATACCTGGTGGTTGACCCCTTCCATCCTAGACCCTCTATAGCCACTAGAAGGTCCTCTGAATGCTACTTCATCTTTCCTAGCCCTTTCCATATTATGCCAGTCCATTTCACACAGTGCATGTCATCTGTACATCTGCTAGTACCTCACTACTTTTGCTGGTACAAAGGCCTCTGCTGTAACTTGCAGCATTCCCACCAGTATGATAATTCACTTCTAATACATGGTTTTCAAATGACAGTGACCAGTGGTTTCAGCAATGGAAAAGGCACTGGATCAAATAAGACTCCTTTAAGAGACCAACATCTACCATCTAACTTAAGAGATTTTCCTGGCAGATCATTTTACCAAGCACTTTAGTGAAAGTAAGAATTCTCGAGTGTCAAAAGAACAATTTATCTGGTCACCTAATAGGAATTATTGATGCCTGTTTCCCATGGTGTCTTGCTAAATTAACTGTTTAAACTTTCTTCATTGATTATGTTTACTAAGTATTGCATTTAAAACAAGTGTTTACCTTCTATCTCCACCAAAGGTTCCTGAGTAAATTCCTGAAAGAATTTGTAGAAGAACTTACTGCAAGCAGCCAAAACAGCCTTGTGGGCCTTAAAATGGTGCCCTAGGTAAAAAAAAAAAAAAAAAGGAAAACATACATAGTCATGAAAAGCAAATGTAAAACCATAAACAGGTTCAAAAACTATATAAAGTACATCTTTCTTTGTAATGTAATTATGTAAGCATATGAATTATCGAAAACATAAATTGAGCTAAAGTCAGAATATTCTTGGCAGCTATTCTGACAAATTTTAATCTCTATTAGGCACAAAGCTGTATCTTTTCCTCAAAGACCTTATTAAGTCAGTTTAATAAAGGCCAGTTTATTGCACTTCAGGAGGTTAAGGTGTTTCCTACCAGTGAAAAGAAGCACTTTGTTACTTTCAATTAAGGAGTGAAAAGCATATCTTATTAAGTTGAAACTGCTAAATATAAAGGTTACATATCACTTCGAGAGAAGGAAAAACCACAGAATAATCACAAAGTTGGATGTGTCTGCTCTGGAGAACAATTTAATATGTCTAGTATTTGGAAGCTGCCTAATATTTGGACGCTCAATCTACAGCAGACCTATATATGATAAAGAACAATTTTCCTTGAAAAGCCTATTGTCACTAAATAGAAAAGATACTCAAGCTAGATTTTCTTCTTCTTTATACTGACAATCCCTGAGAACGATTACTAGAGACCCTATTTTATCTTACGGCCTTCCAAAGGGGTGCAAATGCTGCAAAAAGAAATCTGTCACATACTCCCTCCAAGACCATTTGAGAAACGAGAAACGAATCAACACTTCCCAAATGACTCCAGTGAGAGACCTCTCAGAGAAGCTTATCAACTGAAGATTATTAACCGAACATTCAGAGAAACCCTCCCTATCCCCATGCCATCAGCTTGCACTCAAGTGTGCAATGAGACTAAACTTCAAGAGGCTGCAAGAAGTTAAAAAGCAATGAACGCCAGACTATGCTGAAAGCGTGACTGGCCAAACAGCCTAGGCAGCACGGTCTACATGAGCAGACACAGACAAGTGCCCTCTGGTCCCAGCGCACACCCTCCGCGGACTTTTGGAAGAGACCCCACGGCGGGTGGATAAAAGGCGGGTAAGGAAAGGGAAGAACTGAAGCCACAAAATCGTTCCTCTGCCCACCACCCTACCCACCGTCGACAATCAGGGTGATGTCAGTAAACCGGTCCTGCTCTCGCTGTTCATTCAATCGGTCCAGGATCATTTTATGATGTTCAGGGAACTCCTGAAGGCATTCCATCGTCTCTTCAGCCTCCATGGCCGTCGGGTCGCTCTACAAAAGAGGAGCATGATAATGTACACCCATGAGCTCAGGCGAGGCACAACAAAACCCCTAAAGCATAAAACAACAAAAAACAAAACCCCAGCAACGTGAAAAGAAGGGGGGAGGGTAAGGCAAGAGGAGAGGAAGGAGAGGGAAGAAAAAAAGACGAGCCGGGTGGCCGCCGCGCGTTGGGGGCCGGAGCCGCGGCCGCGGGACTCCGAGCCTGACCTAATTGGAGTCGGGAGACGCGAGCTGGAGCGGGGTGGGCGCAGCGCCGGAGGCTCCGGGTGCCAGGGCGCGCAAGTCCGGCAGGGGAGGGGACCTGACAGCCGCGG